GCACGAGCCCCATGCCCGACGTACTGCACAAGTAGCGCAACACCCTCTTAGCGGCATCCATGTGCTCCTTCCTGTGTCTCCCAGGAGCAACATAGAGTGCCAGGATGCTAAGAGGGTATGCAAGGTCAGGTCGAGTGCAGGTCATCAGGTACATGAGGCAGCCCAAAAGCTCTGGATACGGGCCACTCGGCTCTACGGACTCATCCGAAGGCAGCGCTGAGAGCGAGTGGTGAGTAGGCAGAGGCGTGGGCTGAGGCGAGGAGTACGTGAAGCCGAAGCGCTGAAGGACCTGCTGCACCATGTGTGACTGAGTCAAAGTAATGGTGCGCTGTGCTCTGTCCCAGGTGATCCGCAAGCCAAGATAGCTGCAGAGCTCACCCAGGTCTGTGCACGTGTGTCTCTTCTGCAGCTCGGACTTCACGTGGGCGAGTCCCTCAGTGTCAGAAGTGGCAAAGACCAAGTCGTCGACGTACACGAGGACGTAAAACGGCGGCAGAGAGGTGTCGGTGCGTAGAAACAGCGACGGGTCAGCAGTGGAAGGAGCAAAGCCAAGAGCTGCAAGGGTCGTCCTCAGTGTGTCATGCCACTCACGGGGCGCCTGGCGGAGACCGTAGACTGGCCGCCGGAGGCTCCACTGGGTACCAGGAGGAAACGACCCAGTGAAGCTAGGTGGGCGGCGCAGCCAGATCTCCTCGTGCAAGCTGCCCTGTACGAAAGCAGTGCTGAAGTCAAGGGAGTGCAGCTCGTAGTCACGCTGAGCAGCTATGTGCAGCAGAACCCGAAGAGTGGTCATCTTGGAGGTGGGGGAGAAGGTCTGGAAGAAGTCAACTCCCTCTCGCTGACTGAAGCCTCGTGCAACGTAACACGCCTTGAAGACAGGCGGAGAACCCGGCGGCCGCTTCACCCTGAAAATCCACATGCCACTGACGATGTTCGCCCCAGGGGGGGGAACATCATCGACGTAGGTGCCTGTGGACTTCCATGAAGCCATCTCTGCGTCCATGGCTGTCTGCCACTGAGAGGAGTAGGGTCCCTCTATCGCCTCTGCGTAAGAGCGCGGGGTCGGGATGTCTGGTGCATCCGGGTCTCCCTCAGGGGCAATCAGCATGGACACGAGATCAGGTAAAGCAGCGGCAAAGCACTCAAACTCCTCCTGCATGTCCTCAAGGACGTCCGTGCCAAGAGCACACTCACCCCCGACGGACGGAGGACAGACAGACTCAGACTCCGGGTCCGGACCGTCAGCAAGAGAGGACACAGGAGGAGACGGCAGGGGGACGCGTAGTGGAGCAGTGGAAGGACGAAGTGTCATCTCGTGCGTGCCTGGGACAAGAGGAGGACGCAGACGCGGGACACGACGACCAGTGCGAACAGCGCGAACAGGCGACGAAGGACGAGACTCAGGCGACGCAGGACGAGACTCAGGCTCACGACACTCCGTAAGACCTCTAGTATGTCCAGAGTAAGGAGAAGGACCAGGCAGAGGAGAGGCTGGCTCTAGTTGCGACTGTGGCTGGGCAGGCTGTGGACACAGTAAGGGAAGAGTGGGACCAGTAGAAGGCGGGAGGTCAAGAACCTGCTGAAGTAGCGAAACGAAGTACGGCCGCGGCCGCACAGCACCTCCAGAGCCAGCAGAGACAGCACCAGTACCCCCAGCGCCAGGGTCTCCAGCTCCTACTCCCGCAGCACCACCAGCTCCAGCACCACCAGCTGCTCCAGCTCCAGGAGCACCTCCAGCAACAACCCCGGCAGCACCATCAGCCCCAGCAGCTCCAGTACCTCCAGTACGAGCACCTCCGGGACTAGCGTCTCCAGCTCCTCCAGCACCTCCAGCTCCTCCAGCAGCTCCAGCGTCAGCAGTACCTCCAGCAGCTCCAACTCCGGTAGCACCTCCAGCTCCAGCAGCTCCAGCTCCTCCAGCAGTACCTCCAGCAGCTCCAGCAGCACCTCCCTGGCATCTCCAGCGGCGAGCAAACCACTCGCGCAGCTACGGTGGGGAGAGAGGCTCCCGCCGAGACAAGGCCCCCGCAGGAACTCCAGTAGAGCACCCCCAGTCTCAGTGACCGCAGGCTCAGCACCCTCAGACTCAGCACCCCCAGGCTCCACACCCTCTGACTCAGCAACCCCAGGCTTGGCACCCCCAGACTCCACACGCTCAGGCTCAGTACCCCCAGGCTCCACACGCTCAGGCTCAGCACCCCCAGGCTCCACACGCTCAGGCTCAGCACCCCCAGGCTCCACACACTCAGGCTCAGCACCCCCAGCAGCACCACCAGAGTCAACCGCTACCTCGACAGGCTCGACAGCGTCTACCTGGGACACACCTGAGGGAGCAGGACCCTGAGGGGGGAGGGGGTCTACCGGAGGAGGACCTGGGGCAAGGAAGAGCGGCGGGGGGGGGGGGGGGAGAAAAGCAGTGCGGTAGGGGAAGAGGCGGTAAAAGGGAACCGACTCGTCGAACGTGACGTCCTGAGAGGGCAGGACACGGCGCGAGGTGGGGTGGTAAAACTGCCAGCCAGGCGCGTCAGGGACAAAGCCAAGGAAGACGCAGGGAATAGCCCGGGCGGAGAGCTTGTCCGCGGTGGTATCGCGGACAAAGACACGAGAACCCCAGACCCGAAACACTGACGCATCGCCAACCTTCCCCGTCCAACGCAGTGTGGGCGAGGCCTCCGGCAAGGAGACACGGGGCCAGAGGTTGAGCTGATGCGCCGCGTAACGGACCGCAAACGGCCACAGAAAATGGGGGGCAGCCGTATGGACCATGGAGGTACGAGCGACCTCCATGACTAATCCAATGCGGCGCTCAGCAATCCCATTCTGCTGTGGTGAGGCCGGGAGCGTGAACGTCTGGCGTATGCCCTTCCCACGACAAAAGTCCCGCAGGAAGTCAGAGGCAAACTCACCACCTCTGTCAGACTGCAGACACAGGATGGGAAAGTCCGTCCCGAACCGCTCGCGGAGCTGGAGACGGGCAGCGCGGATCCACGGGATCAAAACATCAGGGACCTCACCCTTGGTGCGCAAGGGGAAGACTGTGGTGTAACGCGAGTAGTCGTCAACAACCAGCAAAAAGTACCGCTCGCGGTCCTATCCTGACCTGCAGCCCCACCGCCGCCACCGACGCCCCCACTCCCACCACCACCCTTGCCTCCACCCCCACCCCCTCCGCCTCCTCCACCGCCACCACCGCCGCCCACGCCATCCCCTCCACCACCCTTGCCCCCCTTGCCCTTGCTGCTGCGGCGCCTCCCACTGGGAGCAGACGCAGCCCCGACCTCCTCGGTGCCAAGGAGGTCAACAGCAGCAGCAGAAGCAACAGAGGGCAGAAGGGGAATGGGGGAACACCCCTCAAAGAACGGGGCGTGGGGGTCGCCGCAAGAAGCACCTACAGCAACTATACTCTTCTCAGCTGCAGTAAGGCGCTCCTCTAGCAGGTCGATGGTGAGCGTAGTGGGGCAAAGGGAGAGAAAGTGGTCCCTGACTGAGGAAAGGGAGTGCGGAAGACGGGTGACTAGGTAGAAGAGGGTGATGTACATGGGGGGCGGGTTCTTGGCGCAGAACTCGGGGGGAAGGGCAGCGCGGTAGCGGGTGTCACTAGTGCGGAGGTGAGTAATGAGGTCAGCGACTGTGGCAAAGGCGGCCAGGTCAGGGAACAGGTACGGTAGCATGAGGCGGCTGAGGGTAGCAGTGGCAGGGGAGGAGGAGCGCGCTATGACAGCGTCATACAAAGACTTAGCAGTCTTGTACTGGCCAAAGTGCGCGCGCTCAGCAGAGGGCAAGTGACTACGAACAGCAAGGCGAGCAACAGCATCACGAGTAGTCCACTGCGAGCGAACTGTACTGTCAGCATCGGCAGCAGGTGCAGCAGAGGCGCCAGACGTGAGATCAAAAAGCGAGACTCCGTCCTTGCTATTGCACTGAAGAAACAGCTGCATATCATCTACCCAGACATTGAAATCAACAGCACGTCCCTCAGCATCGAAGGTAAGAACCGTAGGGCTAGCCATGGTGGCAGTAGTAGCAGTGGCAGAAGTAGTAGCAGTAGCAGCAAAAACAGCAGCAGCAGCAGGAGCAGCGCGGTCAGGGCAGCGCGGCTCAGCAGGGCTGTGAGGCGCGGCTCGGCTGGGCGGCGCGGCTCGGCTGGGCGGCGCGACCCGGCGGAGCGGCGCGGCTCGGTTGGGCGACGCAGCTCGACGGAGCGGCGCGGCTCGGCAGAGCGGCTGGCAAGCAGGCGCGGGTGGCGCGCTTAGGGTGGGTGCTCACCAGGGGCGAGCAGGGCAGGCGCGACGGCGGGGCCTCAGCGGCGGCAGCGGCGGCGGTCGGAACGGCGGCTGCAGGCTTGACGGCGGCAGCAGGGCCGCAACGGCGGCAGCAGGCGCGACGGCTCCTGCAGGCCACGGGGCCGCGACGGCGGCTGCAGGGCAGGGGCCGCGACAGCGGCTGCAGGGTAGGGGCCGCGACGGCGGCTGCAAGGAAGGGGCCGCGACGGCGACTGCAGGTAAGGGGCCGCGACATGGGGCTGCAGGTCAGGGGCCGCGACGTAGGGCGGCAGGGCAGGGCCGCGACTTAGGGCGGCAGGGCAGGGCCGCTACGGCCGGCAAAGCAGGGCCACGACGGGCGGCGGGTCAGGCAGGGCCGCGACGGGCAGGGCCGCAACGGCAGGGCCGCGACGGCAGGGCAGGCGCTCGACGACGCAAGTGAGGCAGGCGCGAGGCGCACGACAGGGCAGGAAGGCGCGGGAGCGCACTTCGGGCAGGGCAGGAAAAAAAATCGTGGTGGGCCATTGAAAAAAAAAAATCGTTCCCAGTAGGGAACCTGTTCAGAAACCATGTGAGAATAAGAACGAGGAATGAATGAACTAGCAAGCAGGTGGGTACAAGTAGGAAAACCTAAAAGTGTTGTACCCAATATTGCCTACCCCACTACAGCCTACACAGACTATAGCATATAAGTTTGACACTCACTCCCCACCATCGACTCTCCCTCCCTCCCCGCCGTCACTCTCGCTTCCTTCTCGTCGTTGCCTCCTTCTCCCTTCCCACTGTCGCCTTTGGTGGGTGCACGAGCACGAGCGCGGGTTGCTGCACGACCGCCCGTTGTTTTCGTAGGCGCGGTTGTCTCATGTGCGTTTCCTTCTCCCTTCGAAGTGTCCTATATATTCTACTTTCCTTATAAGTTCTCTATGCCAATTAGTCTCCTCTTAGCATTGTGCCTCCATTTTAAGAAGGGGAGAGAGGGAGTGTGAGGGAGTGTGTGCGCACGAGAGCAAGCACGCAAGAGCGCTGGCGCCTATCGCGCTGGCGCCTAGAGCACTGGCGCCTAGCGCGCTGGCGCCTAGCACGCTGGCACCTAACGCGATGGCGCTTAGCGCGCTGGCGCTAAACGCGCTGGCGCTTAGCGCGCTGGCGCCTAGCGCGCTGGAGCCAGACGCGCTGGCGCATAGCGCGCTGGCGCCTAGCGCACTGGCGCCTAGCGCGCTGGCGCATAGCGCGCTGGCGCCTAGCGCGCAGGCGCCTATCGCGCTGAGGGAGCGCGTGCGTGAGGGAGCGCGTGCATGAGGGAGCGCGTGAGGGAGCGCGTGAGTGAGCGCGTGAGAGAGCGATTGAGAGAGCGCGTGAGAGAGCGCGTAAGGGAGCGCGTGAGAGAGCGCGTGAGAGAGCGCATGAGAGAGCACGTGAGGGAGCGCGTGAGAGAGCACGTGAGGGAGTGCGTGAGGGTGCGCGTGAGAGAGCGCGTGAGAGAGCGCATGAGAGAGCGCGTGAGAGAGCGCACGTGAGGTTGCGTATAAGAGAGCGCGTGAGAGAGCGTGAGAGTACGTGTGAGACTGCGCGTGAAAGAGCGCGTGAGAGAGCGCGTGAGAGAGAGAAGGTGCGTGAGAGTGCGCGAGAGCGAGCGCGTGAGAGTGTGCCTGAAAGAGTGCGCATGAGAGTGCGCGTGAAAGAGCGCGTGAGAGAGTGCGTGAGAGAGGGCGTGAGGGAGCGCGCGTAAGAGCGCGTGAGGGAGCACGTGAGGGTGCGTATGAGAGAGCGCGTGAGAGAGCGCGTGAGAGAGCGTGAGTGTGCGCGTGAGTGTGCGTGTGAGAGTGCGCGTGAGAGAGCTCGTGAGAGAGAAAGTGCGCGTGAGAGTGCGCGAGAGTGTGCATGTAAGAGTTTGCGTGATAGTGTGCGTGAAAGAGCACGTGAGAGTGTGCGTGGGAGAGCGCGTGAGAGAGCGCGCAAGAGAGCGCGCGAGAGAGAGCGCGACAGAGAGCGCGAGAGAGCGCGTGAGAGAGCGCGTGAGAGTGCGCGTGAGAGTGCGCGTGAGAGCGCGCATGAGAGTGCGCGTGAGAGTGCGCGTGAGAGTGCGCGTGAGAGTGTGCGTGAGGGTGCGCGTGAGTGTGCGTGTGAGAGTGCGCGTGAGAGTGTGAATGAGAGTGCACATGAGAGTGCGCGCGAGAGAGCGCGTGAGAGAGCGCGTGAGAGAGCGTGTGAGAGAGAGAGAATGTGCGTGAGAGTGCGTGAGAGAGAGCGCGAGAGAGAGCGCGAGAGAGTGTGCCTGAGAATGCGCCTGAGAGAGCGCGTCAGAGAGCGCGTGAAAGAGCGCGTGAGAGAGCGCGTGAGAGTGCGCGTGAGAGTGCGCGTAAGTGCGCGTGAGAGTGCGCGTAAGTGCGCGTTAGAGTGCGCTGAGTGCGCGTGAGAGAGCGCGTGAGAGAGCGCGTGAGAGAGCGCGTGAGAGAGTGCGTGAGAGCGCATGAGAGAGTGCGTGAGAGCGCATGAGAGCATGCGTGAGAGAGCCCGTGAGAGTGCGCGTGAGAGTGTCCGTGAGGGTGTGCGTGATAGTGCGCGTGAGAGTGCTCGTGAGAGCGTGCGTGAGAGTGCGCGTAAGAGTGTGCGTGAGAGTGCGCGTGAGGGTGCACGTTTGGGTGCGTGTGGGGGAGCGCGTGAGGGAGCGCATAAGGGAGCGTGTGAGAGAGCGCGTGAGAGAGCGCGTGAAAGCGCGTCGCGCATGAGCATGCTGGTGCGTAGGCACTAGCATCTATTCTGCTGGTGCTTGGGAAACTGGGGCTACTTATACAAATGAGTGTCGCTTTCTGCACTAGCGTTTAGAGTACTGGCTTTTAAGGGTTTGGCGCCTCAGACGCTCGTCTAGGCCGCTGGCAACTAGCGGGCTAGTGCCTAGCACGCTCGTGCAGTTGTCATCTCCACACATTTGAAACACTCGTTATCAAAACGTTGAAACGAGTGGTTCGGACGTTGGGAAAATGACAAAAAACTGCATTGTTCATTTGAGTCGACCTAAAAGTGCTACCAAATATATAGGGTTGCTACGCAACCCGAAAATGAACATGTATTACAACGCATGGTTTCTATACTACCGTAGGTTACTAACCGAGATTAGACATCATACATAATTTATATATATGTATATGCTAGCATATGTTAAATCCCTAGTCTTTAATTTTGTCCTATTTGTACGGTTTCTTCTTTCCTGCATCGCGGATGCGTTTCGCTTCTTTTTCCCGCGCGCGGAAACCCCTGCCGCGTCAGGTGATCCCCACACCTGTCCGCGGGCTGGGGCTGCATCAGCCTGCTTCCCGCCCCTCAACAGGCTGGCGAGCTCGGTTCCGAGCGGTTCAGTGCAACCGTCGCCAGCTCGTGTTCTCACAGATTTTCCCTTGCAAGCACCGCACCCCAGTCTCGTCTCTGCCTTCCTCATTGCCTCGGCACTAATCTGGTCCTCCCTACTTTCCCTGGCGATCCTGTTTTCGCTGACAGCGGGTCACGCTAACGTCTGCGCGGCGTGCAATTCCAAGCTAACATTTCCTCGGCACGTTGGTAGTCCACGCTAACGACTGCGATGGCGTCGCTAAAAGCACTTTACTTCGTTCCGTACAACGCGTTCCTCGCGATCGCATGGTGTGTGGCACTTCCCTCCGCGCAGCCTCATTACCAGCTATGCAATCCGCTTATGCATCACAACATAACTCAGCCACCTCGGCATGTATGTATCTTCTCACATGGCATGACGTCATGTGACATTGCACGGGGATACAATGGCATCGCATGGCATCGCATGGCAGGCTGTACGTGTTGATCCTGACGGTGCAAGCGCTGGCGACGGGCGGCCCGTCGACCGTGTATGCCACGGCGGAGCTTCCGCTTCAGATCGCTCAGACCGCTGCACTGATGGAGGTCAGTCAGAGGCTAATAGTGAGGATTGTGCTCGGGGTGCAATGTGTTGGTAGGTGCATTACGGCAGATGCCGGTTTATGGTGTCTCTCCACGTCCTTGCAGCGAACCCATGCTAACGACGTTACGACCTCCGCGTTGTCAGTCGCGGCTACTGGGATGATGGATTTACAAAATTCGTGGATTAGCGAATGCAATGGGGACCGTATTCAGCGAGTTGCTCGCCGCAATCAAAGCCTAGGCTCGTCTACAATCCTCTAATATGCCAGCTCCTGTGTTCCTCCCCGCACTGCCACCGCCTGTGTCCCTCTCCCTACTCTCATGGCACGCGCGCGCAGATCATCCACAGTATTCTCGGTGAGTTCTCCGGTTTCCGTTTCTCTGTTTCCGTATAGCTCTCTTATCGCACGCTCGCTTCCGCAACTCTAGTCGGTACCACATGATTTGCCCCTGGGATGTGTGCCTCTCATCGTCCCTACCCCCTGCCCCCACCCCCCCTTCTTCCAACATCGCTGCCTCTTCTGCACCTCCTGCCTCTTGCGTTGCGCCTCCCACGCGATGCCCATTGCCTTCCCCTCTCCCCCCTTCCCCCTCCCCCCCCCCCCCATCCCTTCCCCCACGTGCGGTGCGCTGCGGGCGGCAGGCATCGTGCGCTCGCCCGTGTCCGCCACGCTCCCGCAGATCGCGTCGCGCCTCTTCCTCGTCTGGGGCGTGCTCTACCCCGCGCCGCAGGTGCTCTACCCCGCGCCGCAGGTGCTCTACCCCGCGCCGCAGGTATCTACCCCGCGCCGCAGGTGCTCTACCCCGCGCCGCAGGTGCTCTACCCCGCGCCGCAGGTGCTCCCCCGTGCCACAGGTGCTCTACCCTGCGCCACAGGTGCTCTACCCCGCGCCGCAGGTGCTCTACCCCGCGCCGCAGGTGCTCTCTCATGTGTCTCACGTCATGTGTTAGCGCATCAGCTGCTCAATCAAGTGCCCAAGGTGCTGGCTGGCGCGAAACGATGAGCCACAGGGGGTCGCTCTCACAACAAGGCTGCCGCTCGCCTGCGGTCCGTGCAAGAGACGGAAGGGAAAAAAAGAAAGAGGCGAGGATGGGATGAGAGAACCGTAGGGTCGTAGGGGCGCGCGACTCTGCACCGCCGCCTCTTCTCCCAATGAATTCGTTCTCACAATTAGAAAGCACCCGACTGCGTTCCATGAAGGTGCCACTTTCCCTGTGACGACATGGCCTCGACTTACTTATGCTGCCGCCGCTCCTCTGCTTTTCCTTTTCCCACCATCACCGCTTTTCCCCATTCCTGTGTGCCCCGCCCCTACCATCGCCCCATCGCCACCACTGCGTGCCACGTGTGCACCCTATCGCCACCATCTCATGCCACGTGTGCACCCCATCGCCACCACTGCGTGCCACGTGTGCACCCTATCGCCACCATCTCATGCCACGTGTGCACCCCATCACCGCCACTGCGTGCCACGTGTGCAGGTGCGGGAGCACGTTCTGGTGGCGTCGCTGCTGCTCAGCTGGTCCATCACTGAGGTGCGCGGGGGGTACGCGGGGGCACGCGGGGGGCACGCTGGGGGTACGCGGGGGGTCCGCGGGGGGTACGCGCAGGGTGCGCACAGGGTGCGCGCAGGGTGCATTGGGGCCGAATGGGGGTTGCGTGGGGGGAGTGGGGGGAGGTGCGTGGGGGGTGCGTTGGGGTTGCGTGGGGGGTGCGTTGGGGTTGCGTGGGGGAGTGCGGGGGGTGCGTGACGCATGAATGAGGTGTGAAGTTGGGGGGAAGTTGGGGGGAAGTTGGGGGTAGGGGTACGGTGAACGTGTGAGGAATGAAGTGAGAGAGTGCGGGAGGGAAGGACAGGAAAGAGTCAAGGAAGGAGAGAAGGAAAGAGTGAGCTGAGGTGAGAGGCGAGCTTGGGGGAGGCCCGGAGGTGGAGGGTATACACGACACGGCAACACGCTATTACCATTTGCAAGCGGGCCAGCAGGAGCGCCAGACTGTAGGCTCACCCTTTCACACTCCACAACCCCCAATCCCCCTCCCATACCTGCTGCACGGCGCGAGACCTCCAACAGCTGCGCCCAAACTTATCCACGTCCTCTGGGCATGTCACTACAGCCTCATATGCTCCAGCACCTCACTGTCATCGCCTCACAACTATGGGCTCCCCCTTCTTCGCTTACCCTCCTCCCTCCCCCTCCCCACGTCCCCCACTCTCCCGCCCTCCTTCCCCCTTCCCTGCGTCTGTGCTTGCCATGTGTGCTGTGCTTGCCGTGTGTGCTGTGCTTGCCGTGTGTGCTGTGCTTGCCGTGTGTGCTGTGCTTGCTGTGTGTGCTGTGCTTGCCGTGTGTGCTGTGCTTGCTGTGTGTGCTGTGCTTGCCGTGTGTGCTGTGCTTGCCGTGTGTGCTGTGCTTGCCGTGTGTGCTGTGCTTGCTGTGTGTGCTGTGCTTGCCGTGTGTGCTGTGCTTGCCGTGTGTGCTGTGCTTGCCGTGTGTGCTGTGCTTGCCGTGTGTGCTGTGCTTGCCGTGTGTGCTGTGCTTGCCGTGTGTGCTGTGCTTGCCGTGTGTGCTGTGCTTGCTGTGTGTGCTGTGCTTGCCGTGTGTGCTGTGCTTGCCGTGTGTGCTGTGCTTGCCGTGTGTGCTGTGCTTGCCGTGTGTGCTGTGCTTGCTGTGTGTGCTGTGCTTGCCGTGTGTGCTGTGCTTGCTGTGTGCTGTGCTGCGTGTGTGCTGTGCTTGCCGTGTGTGCTGTGCTTGCCGTGTGTGCTGTGCTTGCCGTGTGTGCTGTGCTTGCTGTGTGTGCTGTGCTTGCCGTGTGTGCTGTGCTTGCCGTGTGTGCTGTGCTTGCCGTGTGTGCTGTGCTTGCCGTGTGTGCTGTGCTTGCCGTGTGTGCTGTGCTTGCCGTGTGTGCTGTGCTTGCCGTGTGTGCTGTGCTTGCCGTGTGTGCTGTGCTTGCCGTGTGTGCTGTGCTTGCTGTGTG